CTGCTGAGAAAACGTTACCGGACGGGAAGTAAGAAAACTTACCCTGCAGAGAGTTAAATAGCTTGAACGCTATAAAGAAAAGAAAGTAATCAAAGAATTACACAACTGGATACTGCCATAGGAAGGGATAAGTAATATTATAACCAAATCAATAGATTGTATGAGACGGAATTTTTGATCTCACAATACTAGTATTAGCTTTTTTTCTAATAATGGTTATTTTATCTTCTAGGGTAAGTGGAGTTCTTTGCTTTCTTTTTTTATTATCCATTATTTTCAATGGGTTTATTAATTGGTCGATTTAGTTTATTTGAGTAAAATGTTTGAAATTAGGAAGTTTTATAAATGGAATTTAAATTTATTCAATTATTAAGATAAAAGGATGTGTACATGTTATGCTTAAGTAAAACCCAAGTTCTTTTATACATGTAAAGAAGATACTTTGCCACAACTGCAAAAAAATAGTATAATTTTCTTTATTGTTAAACGCCATTAAAAAAAAAACAAAATAATTTCTTTGTTGTTGAGGAAATCAATCAAGTCACTACTACACAAAAACAGTAATTTTCTTTGTTGTTAAAAAAAAATAAACAAAATTTCTGATTAATTCTGATTAATTGTCAAAGTCGCCACTAAAAAAACAAAATTTTCTTTATTGTTAAAGAAATTAGCCAAGTCGCCACTAAAAAAACAAAATTTTCTTTATTGTTAAAGAAATCAGCCAAATCACCACTAAAAAAAAACAAAAATAATTTCTTTATTGTAAAAAAAATAAACAAAGTTCTGCTTAAAAAAAAAAGAATAATTCTGATTAATTTTTTTATTGTCAAAGAAGTTAGCCAAGTTGTCACTAAAAAAACAAAATAATTTCTTTATTGTTAACAAAGCAAAAATTTTGTTAGCTATTTAAAATAATTTGTCAAATTTAAAATGTTGGTTACACTTGTATATCATGTACAAATAAGGTTAAAATGGGGATATAACGTTTCAAAAAATTTGGGGATAGGGATATAACTCAGTTGGGATATAAGTGAGGTAAAGTTTATATCAAAATAATATAGGGAAATCCGTCATGGCCCATCAGTGGGATTTAATCAAGGATGGGATATAAACAAGGGGAGATATAAAAGAGGTATGACTGTATTGATTCATGATTTGAGATTATTTATTTTTTAATTATCAAAACATATTGCATTCTTGCACAATATCAACATTTCAGTTTTATGGAAAACCCCATTTTATGGTTGGCCCAGTCTAAAGACACCAATTGCTGCGTCACGTGGAGAAAGAAGACAAAAATTTTTTAGTGAAATAAAGTTCGAATTGCTAATATTATTGTTTGATAATAATCGAAATACGGTCAATGATCGGTATAGTGAGCCTACTATAAGAAAGTTGAAGATTTTCCTATCTGATTATATATAAATTCAGCTCGATATTATGATTTTTAATATAAATTCTCTATAGCAAATGAAGTTTTACTAAACAAAGAAAAGAAGAATGCATTAGAGTCACGATGTATCAATTACTTAAAGTTGGTTTTTAAATAATCCAAGATTTATATTAATTTATTTGTATGAAAAAGGGCGCACACTACCATGATGATAGTAATAATTTCCCCATTAATGTCATTATCACAGGAGAATTGTTTGTTACACGCTATTACTATTCAGTTATCCGCAAAGAAAAAGGAAATATTGTAACTTTATACTGAAAAAAACCCCCACTTTCTCCACTCTAAATTTCATATTTTATATTTTTATATAATGTATATTTTAAATTATTATCACCAGAAAGAAGTGAATTTGTATTTAAAATTGATAAACCATTATATAGTCCAGGTATGGTAAAACAAAAATATCAAAAAAGTAAGCTTTTCTGAATATTAATTTTGATCTGCATATTTACCGACCATCCCAACGCACCATATTAATATATTAACATTTATTTATTTTAATAATATTGAAACATACAACAATGCTAACTTTAGCAGAAACCGGACATCAAGATATAATTAACAAGTTTGGTGAAGAATTTGAATTTCGAATCGGGTCAAGTTTTAAAAAAAAGAATCGTAATCGACCTCCTCTATATTATCAATTCATGTTATATTTATATTTATAAATAAAAATTTATCATGATATGATTTAGTTGAAGTTGACACAGAAGAAATAGATTTTACAAATGAGGCAACCATAAAGTTAGCAGAGAGTAAAGAAACATTTGAAATTAATTATAATGAACAAAATGGGGTTAGTGCGTGTGTATTTATTTATTTATTTATCTATGTACTTGCATTGAATTTTAGGCAGAGTATCCACTAAAATTAACAGGACATTTGGTTGAAGATCGTCATAATAATAATACTTATGATCCAGAAGCCATTAAAAAATGTTTAATGATTTTTGATGAGGAAACAAACGTAAATATTTTTTTTATTTAAATTTAGACATGGTCATTAGAAATTGTGAAATCTAGTTATCATGTTAATACAGGTGAATTTGATAATTTTGAAACATCTAGTGAACTGCAAGAATTTGCTATAAAATTTGACGAAATGGTTGAAGAAGATTACAATGCTGATGTTGATGTTAATAATAATAATGACAATGATAATGATATGGAAGTGGATGAAGATGATGATAATCCATGGGGGAAGGATTATTTAGAAGTACTAGAACCTAATACAATACAAAAAATAAGACACCTACAAAACGATGATGACAATGATGACGACAACAATGACAATGACAATGATGACAACAGTACAAGAAATAATTCATCAGATTCAGCTTCATCTGATGATAGTAGTAGTAATGATAGTTCATCTGAAAATGGTAATGACAAGGATGATTCAGATTCTGGGGAATTGACATTGAATCCTGAATTTGTTGAACTCGCATCAATGATGAAAACTTCATTGAGTCAAGAAAATGGAATCAATAACTTAAATCATACTAGGTAAGTTAATAAATCTTGTACATGTAGATATGAATGATATAGCATATATACCTATTAGTTAATTAGTCAATCAATCATCTGTTGTTTGTTTGTTTTAGTTGAATGTTGCAGCAAATCATAATTCATGTCCTATGTCATTAGAACAATATTTGAGTGGTGGAGGTATTTGTTATTATAGTGTTTATTTATTCCATGTTTATGAATTAATTATTTAATTAAATGAAATTTTTGACATTTCTTTTAATTGAATAAACAAATGATAGGCAATAATCCTCATGAAGAAAAAGAAGAAGAAGATGATGAAAATGGTTCCTTGTCATAAATAATAATTAACTTTTTTTTTTTGGAGGGTTGGGATGATAAAACAAACATTTCTTTTTTGGAAATAATGAGATGGATAATTGTATTTCATTTTTCCAATATTTAATATTTATAGAAACCTTAGATAATTTTTAAAATAATCCTGTGATGATGATCAATTGATCATTTGTCATGCTAATCAATAATAAATAAAAAAGTACATTTACATAGATTATTTTTATTTGATCATTGACTTTTGTTTTAATTATCATTTTATTTTATACATTTATACATTTTAAAAAAAAAATTCATAATAAGAAATATTAAGCAAATAGTAAAAGATAAAAAAAATGAAAATGCTTTTTTAAATGCTTTTTTAGCTACAATATATCTATATATGTACGTGTATATATATTACTATTGCATAGGAGACATATTCAAATATTCACTTAATGAAAATGCAGTATCTGGTGTTTTCATGTCATTAATTGATCGAATTTGGTTTGGTGGGGTTCCTGGACATTCAATCAAATCCTTTGATGACAATGAAGATGAAAAAGAGGAAAAAGCATCAATATTTTCTTTCCATGGACCAACAGTTGTTTTTTGAATCTTTTGGTTTTTAATGGCGCGATTTGAATCTTCCCCACAATCTACTTTTCTTCTACATGATGATGATAATGAAGAGTTTTTTATTGTTGGTGATCCATAGTTCATTAAAGTCCATGAATGATGATTATTATTATTGCTACGGTAATGGTGATGTTGGTGGTGACGATCATTGTTAATAATATAGTTATTAATATGATGATGGTTATTATTGTTGTTGTTGTTAAATCTATCTGACCCATAAGCACCATAATTTCTTTCTAATGAATTTAAATAGAGTTCTATGGAATTAGGATTCACCTCTATTGGGAAAAATGGAGGCAAAGTTTGTTCAAGAGAAGATGCATCAAAAGATGATAATGAAGCTGATTCTTGATGCAATGATGATAAAATAATAATAAGCAAAAAAATATTAATATTAAATATTGTTAATGTTGAAAAATAAATAAAGTTATTAAATTGATTGGTTGATTACCTGTTTTAGAAGAGATTCTATCATTATTATTTAAGCGACATTTTCTAGTATTAATTCTTTTATTATTGTAGTGGTTGATATTATCAGTTGAATCATTAATATGAGATGATGATGATTTTGGTCATTTTACTAATGAATCAAGTATTTCAAAGACGGCTTTAGCTTTTTCATTGGTGAATCCATTTTTTGATGGAGGTATGGGAGAAACATGAAATGGAAGATGTATTCTTTCTTTATTTGGATAGTTTTTATAATCTTCTAATTTTTGTTCTATCATTCTTTCACATGTTGATATATCACAATTTTGTAAACCCCATTTTACTTTAAAATAAGCAAACTGAAGTCCTGTTCTTAATTTTTTTGCAATCTAAGCATTGATGTTTATTTATTTATATATTGTAAATAACTTCAAATTCAAGTGGAAATATATAATATTAAAAATGTTTATCTTTACCTCATAAATGTCTTTTACTTTTGAATGATCTATTATGGGTTTTTCTGTTAAGAGTTTAATGATTTCTTGTAATTCTTTTGTCTCATCAACATTCATTATGAACTAATTAATAAATATATAGTATTGTTTAATTGTCAATACATTTGCATTTATATAATTATTTTTAAAAAATAAAATCTTACATATTTTTTTTATTTTTCAATTCCTTGTGGATATATTTTTTTTTTATTGTTAAAGAAAAGAGATTGATGATTGATAGGAGAGCATGGTTTATTTATTTGAAAAACCTTTTGACTTTTTGGATTGAATTAATTGGTGATAATAGTGTGAAGTTTATTAGAAAAGGTTAGAAGATGAATATGCGAGCAAAGTCAAAGGATGGGCTGTTTACTAAAAAGGGTAATTAAACAGCTGCTTAAGCATCGTGAATTTATGTCGATTAATTGTTTACGTTACATGTCATGTATGTTAAATCTTGAATCGAAAAATAATCAATCATAAATTAAGATTAATTAATAAATGGAATCAAACATTTTCCCACTTGTTTTACCTTTAGATAGAGATTGCCTTTCATATCAGGGTTTCATAACTATTAAGGTTAATTATTATTATAATTGTTTTCACAAATTAAAATTTTTTTGATATTAAATAAATTTATTATTATTTAATAGAAATGTGAATTTTTTATTAAAATATTGCTTGATAAAAACAATGCACCAGCATTAAGAAATGCAAAAATTTATGGTAGCCCTGAATTCAAACAATTGATTTTTGGTCATGATAAAATCTTAAAGCAGGTAAAGAAACACATTTATTTATTTGTGCTGTTATAATTACTATTTACTTATGTTGAGAATTATTTAGAGATTGGAACAATGTTATAATATCGATGAATTTTTTATTGATCTAAAAGATTTACTTGTAAAGTATATATTTATAAATATAAATATAAACTCATAATATTTGAATCTTTAGTTTATAAGGAAGAAAAATTAATTATATATATTTTATTTTAGGAGCATCTAATGATCAAAGAAAAAGAAGAAGTAATGCCACCAGGAATTTATTATTCCTCATTATTATCCGAGCTTGATAAAATTGGCTGGGATAAATTGGAATTGCTTGATCCTTCCTTGAAATCTTTGGTTCTTAGATTAAAGTATTATTTTTCCAATTACAATGAATTTACTTTTTCCAATTATATGATAAAATATTAATACCTATATTACATATAGAACAATCCATCAATTAATTAATTAATATTATATACATGTATTAAAGTCATTCATCAGGTCGTCAACACAAAATAAATATAACATTACCTTTTTCTTATCCAAAATCACCTCTTATTATACAAGCCGAAATTCCATCTGAAATTCAACTGAATTGTATCTTTGACCTGAATGAAGTGATTTCTATTAGTTATAAAGTAAATAGTTTATATACATTCATATATAAATATTTGAGTGTGTATATCTATAGGAAATCTATTAAAGAAGATTATTGATTATTTGAAAAAGGAAATAGAGAAATTTCAAGAATTTTGGTCAATGCTTGATGATGTTGATCAGAACACTTGGATTTTAGAGCCAGATAAACCTAAACGAAATGATTTAATAAGGAGAATTGCACTGGGTAATCATTGTTCTTTACAAATAAAAGTGAATCCTCAACACCCAAAAGATGTTTGTGAACTAAAGTTATTTAGAGCCGACAATTCAATTGCATCTTTTAAAGATAAATTCTCAAAAAATTTAAACAAATGGTTAATATTATTTATTTATTTTATTATTTTACTTGTAATATTTTATAAATTGCAATAATTAATGATTATTATTATTTATTATTTAAGGAATACATCTCTTAACATTCGACAAAGTCTTGAAAATATCCTGGAAATTAAATTTCCATCATCTCAATCATCATCATCACCTGGAGCTGATTATGAGATCGAATGTGGAATTTGCTATACATATCATTTAGAAAGTTCAATACCTGAATATTCATGTAATAATTCAAAATGTGGAAGGTTATTTCATCAAATTTGTTTATCTGAGGTAAAGAAATTTATCATATATGCAGTATATATTATGCATGTGTGTGTATTTATATAAATTTGACAAGTTTTTATTATTAGTGGCTAAGATCAATTTCTTCAATAAACCAAACTTTTAACTTGGTATTAACTAGAAATTGTCCATATTGTGAACAAGCAAGCAGTTGATATTAATTATAATTAATAATTGCAAACACTAATCTATTTTTAATATTAATTCATTTTTTCATTATTTTCAGAGTATCACAATACAAAATAAAAAATTATAGTGTATGGAAAAGATACATGAGAATTTTTTTTACTAATATTAATAATAATATTATCATCATTTTTTTTTTTTACAATTTTTTTTTACAAAAAATATAGATATAATAAATAATTATTGTTCTATTTCGTATTTAACGTTACCAAATCAAATTCTAATAAAATCTCGAACATCTTCATAATCTTTCATTGATTCTAAATAACTAATAAGATGTAGTAAAACTTCATCATCGTCATTGTTTTGTGTCCATTTTACTAATTTTATTCCATTTTCTTGAATAAAAAAATATATGCATTGTAAATCATCATCAATCGTCACATTACATTACTACACGAAAAAAAATTTACCTTTATGAAAAGCAAATGAAGTATAATTATCATCTATCATACAAACTTTTTTAAGATCTGATCCTACAACTCCAAGATCTTTTGTGAATCTATTTTGTTTGTACAAGATGCAGGACTATATTATTTGAATTAATTTTAATTTTAATAAAAAAATTATATTTTATATTTTTAAAAATCAGTCAGTTTATATAATTTATAACCTCGCGATAAAATCTTTTACAAAAATATTTATTCTCCGGGTCTATATAATCGAGAATTTTGTTTGCATAATCAGGAACAGACGCTGTAAATACCACAATATTAAACCATTCACTAGTCTACATTAACAATAACAACAACAACAACAACAACATTATTATTATTATTATTATTATTATTAGCAGAGCAAATTAATAAAGAAATAAAAAAATATACTTTTTCTAAAAACAAATCAAGATGAGGTCTTTATAAACGTAATAAAGTGATTGTGAAAGATTCTTTCGTGGAATATAGCGCGATGATATCATCAAAAAACCAATATGATGGTCACTGACGTCACTGACCAATATTGCTTAGACTATTGGGGTGATTTTTTTGTAATCGCACAGAATTTCCGAAATTTACGTAAAGAACATAGTAAACATATTGTTTTCAAAACACTACTCCTTCTCCGTTTTCAAAGATATAGTCATTAAATTTCCATGAAAGGTAGTATATATATTATAATTTAATGCCATGGAAAGATTTAATGGATTAATAATACTAGTGGTGTAAAAAAACTCATTCGAAATACAGAAAATTTCTTTCTTTATCGTAATACTTCTATCTATTGAAACTTCCGAAAAAATTGTATGAAATAAAGATTCTCTCTCCATAGCACTTTTCTACAAATGTATCCTGATTAAAAACCTCTAATAATTTTATAAATGTAACGATTTTCCGGAAGCCTTAGCGATTGAAAGTTCATAATATTAATAAAACACTAATAACGTAATAACGTATTTGTTGCACTGTTTTTCTCTTTAGAGAAAAAAGGGGTACCATAAAAAATCCGCATATATGGATTTACATTATGACATTAATTAGATTTGTTAATCAACTTATATATATATATCGAATACCCCATTAAACTATATCATAACCGTGAGAAAAATGGGTCAGGTTACACGATCAAAATCATAGTGGGCTTCACGATAAATGCGTAAAAAAGGGGTACCATAAAAAATCCGCATATATGGATTTACATTATGACATTAATTAGATTTGTTAATCAACTTATATATATATATCGAATACCCCATTAAACTATATCATAACCGTGAGAAAAATGGGTCAGGTTACACGATCAAAATCATAGTGGGCTTCACGATAAATGCGTACTACCAGAAAATTTTGTTGAAAATATGGAAAAAATTATTAAAAAAAATCAAGACACTTTAAAATATAAATCACCATCTGGTCATGGTGAAATAATAATTAAAATGCCTTCTGGAACCAGTACTAAACCATCTTTTTCCACACTGCAAGCATCTTATCCATTGAAATTTCTTTCACCTAAAACATATACACCATATCTTGCTGCCATATACATTCTAACTTATGGCGGTGGAATGGTATCTGGTGATAAAATCTTTATTAATATTGAATGTCATGAAAATGTCAACCTAATGCTTTTAACTCAAGGTTCAACTAAAATTTATAAAAAACGACAGATATCAGATCAATTTAACAACAATAATGATAATGGGTTGGAAACAACACAGAACCTAAATGTTATTGTGCAGAAAAATTCTTTTGTACTTCAATTACCAGAACCAACAACATGCTTTTATGATTCAGAATTTGTTCAACATCAAAAATACTCATTAGAGAATCATACATCATCTGTAATTATTCTGGATTGGTTTACTAGTGGTAGAATGTCTCGTGGTGAACGTTGGGAATTTCTAAAATATGAGTCTGGCATTGACTTGTTTGTTAATAACAAATTAATATTCAGAGATGTTGTTTTATTAAAACGGAAATTTGATGATTATATTTCAAGATCTTCCACACCTAAAGAAGATAGTACTAATAAAAATAAAATTAACAGCAACAACAATAGAAATAGTATTAAGGAATGTTTAGAACCTTATAATTGTTTTGCCACATTAGTATTGTATGGACCAAAAGTTACTTTATTAATAAATAATATTGTAGAAGAATTTGATAAAATAGTTGTTGGCAAGGCAAGTAAAATGCCTGATTTGATATGGTCATCTTCTGGATTAGACACAAAACAACATAATGATGGTGAGATCTCTGATTTGAAAGGATTAGTGCTAAAGGTTGCTGGTGTGACTACTGAGATTGTGAAGAATTTTTTGATCGAAGTAGCATTAAAAGATTTAGATGAATTGGTTGGTGATAATTTATTTAAAAGAGCTCTATAATAGTAGTACATTATTAATTATTTAAGGGAGCATTATTTAAAATATATGTGTAATGCATTTCATATTAACATCAAAAAAATTTATTTCCACCACCACCATAAATGTCAACATCATGTCTGACATAATTTATGACAGCTTTAAACCCTTCAAATCAATGTACACATGGTTACCTTTTGCTCTTTTTTGTAGAGTCATTCCAGGATCCTTTTGATTTTTTTTTATTATTGGGACTAGTTTTATGCAACATCCATTCCTTTCTGCTTGTACCAATCATGCAATCTTCACTTCTGAGAAAATGGTACCCTATTTATTTATAATTATTAACTCAAATACAGAAACATAAATAGATACATGCAATCTAATAAGTCCGGGATATATAAACCAAGAGTCAATTGCTGAAATCACAAATTTTTAAAAAAAATTTAATCAGTCAGGGAATATTTGTAGATAAAAATTAGTGGTCTGATTATAATCTTTAATTATAAATTAAGACTTTATTTACCCAAAACAAATAAATTAATATATAGAGGGGTTTTTTTTATCATTTTATCATTACAAATTTTTTATTCTTTTATTTTAAAATTAATTTATAATATTAATGTTATTTAGATTAAAAAGATTCAATTTATTTAATTAGTGCTCCCATAAGTAAATAAAACTAAATTTTATCCAAGAATATAAAATGCCAATACTTGTATAAATTGAAGTTATCATTAAAGATAAAAATGGGTATTTTTGAAAAAATAAGAATTTGGATAAATTTAAAATTAATTGCAATACAAAAAATCCATATAAATAAATATTTTCAATATAATATAATAATTTTGAATTTAAAAATAATTTATTATTATTATAACCACTAAATAAATAAAATAAAATAATAATAATTAATTAATTGTTTGTTTGATAATTTAATTAATTATTAATTTAAATATTACTTGCCATTTTGATAATAAACCAAAAAATGTTAAAATAATCCATAAAATACAGATTGAATATTTAATTGTTGATTCTTAAATGAATTTATAAATTAATATTTTTAAAAAAATTTTTGGAGTCTAAATTCAAATATAAATTTATTAAATATCACATTTACCTGTTGCTTTGAAAAGTAGAGGAAGTAAAGAAATCAATCCAGAAGTAGAAAGTATCATAAATGTACGTAATAAATGATAATTTTCACTAACAATTAAACTATTATTTCCATCAATTTAAAAAAATAATTACATATATTACTTATTAAATATTTTCTTTCAAAATTCTTTTGTAATTTTACCTAAAAGGAATTAAAACCAACAAAACAGCCTTTTCATGTACATGCCAACCAAACAAAAATGAACTATAACCACAAGAAATCAAAGATTTAAGGAAATTCATGTATGTTGGGAACTTCCATAATTTTATTAATGAAAACTATATGATAAATAATATATAAAAATATGATTAATTTATTGTAAGATTATTGTGAAAATAATAATAATAGTAATCATAATAATAATAACCATTATTTAAATTACTTACTAATTGAAACATTAAAGTAATAATAAAAGTATAAATAGGTTTAATAGTTGGTAAAATTGCAAAATCAACATCACCAACCAAACCTCTTGTGACTGAATCAACTGCAGCTTCATTTAATTCCAATCCCAATTGTTTGCCAGCTACAAATAAAATCAATAAACTAATTTATTTATAACTTATATGTATATATAATATTTTGTTAATAATCCTACCGACTATTAAAACTCGATCTAAAGCTGAATATAAAGCCCAAAAATTTGGAGCCCAATAAGCATGACAAAGTCCTCTTTTAAATGGGAATAATCGACCAAGCACTTGACCAATTTGGTTTAGATACATGAATGGACCAAAAGATATTAAAAATATTATAATTACAGATGCACCAAGGATTAAAAAATTCTTTATGGAAAAATTCTTAGATTCTATAATTATGAAAAGATAAATAAAAAATAATATTAATAAATAAATCTTTTTTTTTTTTTTAAAAAAGATTTTCTATTCAAATTATATCTTCTCACCTTTAATATCAGTTGTATTTTTGAAACAATAATTTCTCAAAAGATAAATAAAATATGCTGGTGAAAGATAAAGAAATATATGTTTGAAATTCAACAAAATAGCAAATGTTATCCCACATAATAAATCATTGCCCTCAAATAAAATAAAAATTTTAAATAAATTATATTAAAAATGATGAAACATTAATATTTTTTTAACAATAAAAATTTATTGTAATTATTTACCTCTTTAGCATATGATATTGATAATAATAAAATTCCATAAAGAAATCCATTATATTGAAAATGAATGTGTTTATTTCAAAAGTTAAAGAAATCAATATAATATAAAATAATTATATTGATTAGTAATATTGATTGAAATAATTTCTGATTTTAAAAATCACAATTAAGGATATGATCAACCATCAAGAATCCAGGATTCAAAAATATTGAAATCGCAATTATATTTAATAAATCCTTTTTATTTTCTTCTTTTGAAATATTTATATATCTGATTATAATTACACAATATTTATCATTATTCCAATGATTCAAATTTTCCAATTATTATAGGATAAAACTTACTTTATCAACGCGTAATATAAAATCAATTCACTTAGAATTACTGTTGTTCGTTGAAAATAAATGGTTTCTTGACTTGAATAATTTGAATTTTCGACTTTAACCATCTCATCATCATAAAATGTTGCAAATTTTGATAAAACCCATTCAAACCATGCGAAAAATGGCGGATAATCTAATGTCCATTCACTTGTATCCTTTATTATAATAAATAATATTTATGATTTATATACATTTATTGATTTTAAGCAACTATCAAATATATTGTCATTGTCATTGTTATTATCATTATCTGATTATTTTTACCTCATAATACCATTTGGATATGGGAAGACTGTGTGTTATTGCCAACCAATTTCTATGTACTTCAAAATCGGTTGACCGACTTTTTATATTAAAAGAAAATAAATTTTAATTATTTAATATATTAAAAAAATTAAAAACTATATTAATTATACTTACTATGTTGGGAAAAGTAATAATTTAATAAAAGTACTGAATATTAAAATATCTTTTTGCATTTTTAATTCTTTTAATTAATAAGTGTGTCCAGAAATATATATGCATTTTTAAAGGATGTATTTTCACGTGATTTTAACCATATTTAGAAAGATTTACATGATGTTCAGAGCTTGCCTCTCTAAATACTATGGCTTTGTGATACTGATTGATACCTAATGCCTCACCCAATATGATATGATGATTTACACATCTAAATATTTTTTATCCAATTTTTTTAAAAATAAGAAAAGTAATATTTTAATTTGTCAGAGATCATTATTTATCAATAATAACAATTCATCACTGCCACTAATTTCACAACATTTTTGTTTAAAGAAGTCATTTAACTATAAAAAATCATCATGTAAATCACCATTGAAATTAAATTATGTTCATAAAATTTATAATTCTACACCATCATCAAATAATTCATCATTACTTGTAAAAGAAAAACCAATATCTAAAAAATTTTATGAAATAATTAACAGTATAAAAGTTGGTGATGGTAAAGAAGTATTAACTTCTGCAACAAAAGTGTTAAACGATTTTACAGGATATTCTGTTGTAGAAGACTTAAAGAAAAAGGTTATTCAACAAGGTAAAATAAATAGATGAAATCTATATATATATATATATATATGTATATGTATATGTATATGTATGCATACAATGTGATAATTATTGAGATATTGCAAATTTTTAATTTTGTGAATAATTATTTTTATTTTTTTACTTGACAGAGAATAAATTGGCAGAAGCACGAAAACAACTTGAAGATGCAAAACTTTCATATGAGAACGCCATATCTATAAGATCAAATACACAACGTGAAGTTAGTGAATTATTACAACGTAAACATTTATGGACAAATGATGATGTGATCAGATTTACAGAATTGTATCGTAATGAACATTTAAATGAACAAAAAGAGGTGGCAGCCAAAGATGAATTTCATAAATGTGAAAAAATGGTTGAGACAGGTTACACCGAATTGACTAGGATGATGATGATGAGGTATCATGAAGAACAAGTTTGGAGTGACAAGATTCGTAGTGCATCTACATATGGTACAATTTCCTTGATATTGCTTAATTTTATATTGTTTATTTGTGTACAAACTGTTTTTGAACCAAGGAAAAGACAAAAATTGGCTGATAAATTTGAAGAATTACTTATTGTAAGGTCAAATGAAGAAGAGGGTAGACTTAAAAATGATATTTTTCAATTACTTAAAGAACAGTTACAAAAATTGGAAAAAAGATTTAATGAATTACTAAATGTTTCAACAATAACAACAGCAACATTACCATCATCACTGATTTCAAATGAGCCTAAAGATATAATAATTGAGCAAGAAACAGCAGTAAAAGATAATGAGCAAGGTGTTAATAATAATCCTGATGAAATTGAAGCAATAAATTATTCTGATTCTTCCTCAACTTTAAATCTTATTAAGCAAAATAACCCAAAAATTGTCCATTTGTCAACTGATGAGTTAGAAAATATTACTATCATTTCTGCTATATTGGGAGCCTCTGTGGGTATACTACTTAGCCTAGCATTTAATGAAATATTTAGAAGATGATTAAATTAATTTTTTTATGTATTATAATATGTCTATATAATATATATATATATATATATAATATTTACTTTACACATTGAAATTTATTAATTTATTAGAGAAAAGGCAAAAAAATAAAAAAAATTTTTTTTTGTTAATCACACTTTAATCCATGTCTTTTTTTAATCAAATCGAGATTTGCTTTCAAGTGAGAAGGAACTTCTTTCTCAATCCATTCCCACTGCCAAGTTGTCCTTCCATGTGTATACTGAATTTTGTTTGCTCTAACATATGGATTGTTCCTAGTTTTATCCTCAACGATGCTCCACATTTTCTGTCGTTGATAAATATTTGTTATGTGACCTAGCAATGGATCTCTTAAATCTAATGATTTTACAATTCGATTTTCTTTTAATTTTCGAATCACTATCTTTGAAGCTTTATCAATATCTGATTTTTGAGACCATCGATTTATAGTACCATGCAAAGACATAATTATAATAACAATTAATATCAAAGCACCTATTAATTAAAAAATAATTAGTAAACATGTATTTATTTCAATCTTATTTTATGCATAAAAATAGTTCACCAATTATATTATATATATTTTGTTTAAACCAAGTTTTAGTATATTCTACTAGATGTATAAATGAAACCTTTAAATAACATTTGATTGAATATTTGGGATTGTTAGAGATAATGTGAATCTGGTTTTGTAGTTCTTGGTTAGAAATACTATATGAAATCATTGTATTAAGATGATAAACATATTAATTTAATTTTAATATATAATAAAAAAAACATTAACAAACAGAAGGTACTTACGATGATGGCAATAGTTTTTCATAAATTTCAACATCATTATCATCCTTTAAATCATTCACTGCAAGTTCAAAATATTTATCAAAATCTTCTTGAGAATATTTCGCCTTTATCATTATATAAAATAATAATATTATTATTGTTTAAAAAAATAACAGTAAATAATAAAAAAATATAGAACAAAACCTACGAATTTCTTTCTAAGCAGCATTTTCAAGCTGTCAACATGAAGTAATTTGTCATCATCATAATTATCAACTAATTTACATTTAAATTTTCCAGTTTCTTGTGCGATTATATTTTTCAATGATTTTATATATTTTGATGTTATCTTCATTTCCTCATTGTCAATTACGCATTCGTATTTTAATGGATTATTTGATATACGAATTGGTTTTAATCCTGGATAACATGTAATAAATCTTCCATTTGAACAATGTGCATTGTTTGGACAAGCAATACAAATTTTATTATTAATCATCGATCCTATGATTTAATAATAAATAAATTAAATCAAATTAATGATATATTAATTGCTATTAATGAATCTACTACTCTTTACCATTAGTTGCGATTATTTCTTCGTTACAAAAGATATATTTGTTAGCTGGAGAATATATAACATAGAAATAAAATGAAACAATTGAGACAAGTATGTATGATATTATTGTAAAAGAATATTTTGGATACATTGTAAAGGTTCTTTTGATCAAATTTTATTATTATTATGATTTTGATGATCAACTATACACGAACCAAAATTAAAGACGGACGGTCACCTGGGACAATTTTAATTGGCCAATAATATCGCACGCATAAAAGGTGCTCGCTCTAGTTTTTTTTGCAAAAAAAATTTTTTATAAATTTCTATTTCTAATTAATTTATTCATATATATACTCCATATCTTTTTCTCAATGAATCCAAGATAGTATATGCTCTATTAATGAGCAATATAGTGATTATCGTTAAATAAGGACAAGATTTTTGATAATTTTACAGCAACGCCTTCTCCTTTACCCATCATCACAGATACAAAAGGCCATTAATTTTCTAAAATCGTTAATTAATTTAATCAATTTAATAAATATAATGATTTTTAAAAATATATTATTTAACGATAAAAACCATCTCAAATAAATCAATTAATAATGATGAAATAGTATATGTGTCACCACGGGCAGAAGTCATGGTTTTATTTTAACGTAAGCAACATAAATATCTAAATGTTTTGTCACTTGTATATCAGTTGATCCATCAATCATTATACCAAATACTGACACTTTACGAGTTCATGCCATAATTGTTCTTCAAGAGCTTTGAAATAGCCATTAACATTTCATGACCTGAAACTTCATTAGAATATGTAATTGATCCTTTAGTGGTATCAATTGCACCCAATTGAGTACACGAGATGGAAGTTTTCTTAGAGGAAAGTCATGTTTTGATAAATCTTCATGACAGAAATTATTTTTATCATGAAAATATTTTCATATTTTTGAAATTTCCAATTTTTCTGCCTCAACAATAATCCATTTTTCTTTTATGAGTAAGACATGTTTTACAGGATATTTTCACTTAGAATTGGAATCTTAAGTTAATCATTTTAACCAATTTGAATTAAAATTCTTTTTATGGGTTTCATTTTTCAAATAATTGGTGTTTGACAAATCAAGATCAGAAGAATCATCATAAACTGCCAGAATTATAAAATAATAAAACAACACATATATAGTTGAAACAAATTTTTTAAATTGATTGATTATATAGAATATACTATAATATTTTCAAAGAAAATTGCGACTTTTGAAGTTTTTAATAATGATTGATTTATTTCGAAAAGTAGCCGCACAGATGCTTTTGGTTTAACAGGGTCGACTATGTAATAATATAATATTTGTAAGTATGTTTATAAAATGATCGAGGTATTGAAAATTTTCCACTTTGATAAATTAAGTTAATTATTAAAATTTATATGCTTACAATATTTTATTTCCCATCACATTAATATAACTATATAGTGAATTACTAAATCCTATGTTGATATAATATATATATGTATATATATTTTGAGATTGTGAGCCCAATTCATAATTTGATATTATATGTAGTGTTGGTTTCCAAAATTTACAACTGTGTAAAATCAAAAGGTTTTGCCACAAATTGAACATATTCAAAATAGGTTTGGCGACCAACACTAATTGTACGTGGTGTAAAAATACGCTCAATTATTGAACTGCTTATTGGGCTTTATATAAATAAAATAAATAAATAAATAATAATAATAATAATAGTAATAGTAATAATAATAATAATAAATAGATTAAAAATTAAAATACACGCTCGTCGCATTTATAATTTTGGTTTCTAGTATACTGTAGTTTTGTCATTGTGAAAAAGAACGAAAGAGGCCAGGATAAAACTTATAAATAATAAGTTGACAAAGTAAAAAACAACCGATTAGTCAACTAACTAGTTGGTTAATTAGTGCTTCGCACATAAGAGTAGGGGCAAAAAAACCGGTTTGTAAGAAAACATTTCCCAATTAAATAATTTAATAAAATAAATAATTCTTTTTCGCTTAATTAAACGTTAGGGTTTAATTGTTTATCTGTTATCAGAGTGGTATAAAACCCTGGGTTTGTTAATATAGTAGTAGTAAGGTTTACGTTTCTGTTTACGTTTTTGTAAAAGTTAAGTGTAAACGTAAGGTGTTATTTTACTTCTACATCTTTAAGGGTAGAGTGTACATAACACAATTTTACTATGATACATTAGATGTGTTTTTTTTGACCACCAATCATTAAAAATATTAGTGTAGTCATAATCAATGTTGCCTGTGTCCGCCACTTTAAATGTCCCAGACATTCCTGGGCAAAAATATGAATTTTGCTTGTAAATAATATGAGGGTAGCTTTTTAGTCAACCTTAGTTATTGGATGAGTTTTGGGTTAGCCTTTTAAGTTAACTTATCAATTAATTTATTTATTTTACAAATTATCCTGCTTGTTGCCTCTTTCTTGTACCTACCTAGAATATACAAGGAGTTGAAATATTTCGACCTGAAATGTCAAAAGTCAAATTAAAAAGTCGAAATGGTCGAAATTACATCACACAACAGGCTGAACATACAGAAAATTAATCAAAAGCTCCAAATTCTCATAACTCGGTCAATATCAGACTGTTCTGAATAAAACAACTACCATTTGAATTCTCTTGATGAAGTGAGTCTAATGAGATGTAATTCACAAAATCCGAATAACTGATTATTGAGATATTTTGGTTTACTGTATATATTAAAACAAATCTCCATTTATTGATGCTATAAACATTAAACTACCATTGTTTGAATCGTCTTTATGAGACTATTCTAACGAGATAAATAAATTTGAAATTATTTAATTATAATAAATCGTGTGATATATCGAAATGGACAAAATCGATTTCGACCATTTCGAATTCATATATAGTAACTATTATAGGGTAGTTACCATTATAAAATATTTACGGGCTGCCGCAAATTACTGTCATTAGTCATATTAGTCTTTGAATTATTTGTGATCTGCAGTAACTGAATAGTCAGTCAGTAAGATTTGTTCTTTGTGCGATTGGTGGATTGATGATGAGTATGCAAGGACGTATGTCTGGTATTTTGCATTTGATTTTCTCATAGACTCACTGTAATCGTAATGTAAACATCATTAGAATATTTTCTTGTCAATAAACTACCATTTAAAAGAGAAATTAGGGTTAATGAATAACTTTCCATTGGGGGATGTGAGGTTTTGCGGTGCCACGGCTGTATAGAATAAGCAAAGTCTCATGTGAAATGATGGCTGTATTAGTATTAGTATGTATGTATTCGTGAATAAAATTTTTTTTTTAAAAAAATCTGAATGTTTTCATATAATCTCAACAGTATTAGTATCAATACAAAAAAATTAATTACAAGATGTTTATCATCAATTCAAAACAACAATACAGCTACTACTTCTTTTAATAAATTTTTTAAAACACATCAATTCATTGTTGGTAAAGATGAAGCTGATATGAGACTCGATCATTTTCTTCATTACCAAACTGGCTTACCAACCTCTGTCATTCAAAAAAAAATAAGAAAAAACGAAGTATAATTTATTAGATTTATTTATTTTTTTCTGGGGAAGATGACTTTATGATTAATTTCTGTTTTTTTCCTATAGGTTAAATTAAATGTCAATAATTCAAATAATGATGATGATAGTAATGTTATTTTGGCTGATGATTTTTCTATAAATAATGATAATGAATTGATAATTGAAAATCAATCAATTGTAAAAACTACAACAAAGAAAAAAGATAAGTCAATTCCAAAACATGCTCTTAAAGTTAAGATTGGTGACATTGTTACAATAAGAAGCCCTGACTTGTATCAGGCAAACAAATATACTAGACCAACCAGAAAACCTAAAGAGGTATTTTTTTATTTAATCCAATCTTTTAATTCAATATTTAATGATTTATTTATTTAACAGTCTTTTAGTGATTTTGACATTAAAAGGATCAGATCAATGATTTTATATCAAGATGATGAAATTATGGTTGTAAATAAACCTTCTGGCATTGCAACTCAAGGTATCTCATCTACATATATTTATTAAGGATTAGTTTGAAATTTTACTGATTCTTTTATTATAAATGTCAATTTTTAGGTGGACCCAAAATAAGAAATCATATAGATGGGCTATTAAATGGTATTTTTAATATTAAATGGATTTTTTTGTTCTTTTAAAAAAAATTTTTTATTAAAATGATTTTCCTTCATTAATAAAAATGTTAACATTAGTATTGCAATTTGAACACCCTGAGCCTCCTCGTTTGGTTCATAGGTTAGACAAGGTGTTTGAATCATTCTTAATAAATTTCATCACTTAAAAAAAATATATTCATATATTATATATATTTATATTTATACTTACTTGATAATTAGAATACAACTGGTGCATTGATTCTTGGTAGAACAAGATCTGCTGCTGGAAAATTATCATTCATGTTTCGTGAAAGTACCATAGAGAAGATTGTAAGTATTTATTTTTGGCAAGGATGATAAAAATTAAATTATAACATTATATATATAATCATTTATTTATTTTAGTATACAGCGATTGTTACAAAATTTCTACCACGTGATTTATTTAAAAAAAAAATAGAAGCTCCAATTGTTTATGGTGGTAAACCTCCTTTTGAAAAAGTTCTTTGTATTACAGGTAAATAATCTAATAAATATAACATAATATCTATATTTATAATAATATATATATATATATATATATATATTGATTGTTGATAGATGAGTCCTCACCATTATTGGAAAAATCAAGACCCTCATTCACAGAATATCAAGTTTTGGCTGGTATAGGAAATCATTCTTTACTTAGATTGTTTCCACAAACTGGTAGAAAACATCAACTAAGAGTCCATTGTGCTTCTATATTAACTGGTAAATAAATAAACATATATCTGATATTTATAAAGTTTATAAATAAAACTAAATATTCCATGAATCTATATTTATATTTATTTCTAGCACCAATTTTGGGTGATTCAAAATATGGTTATATTTCTAAAAGTCACCATGATAAAAAAGATGATGATGAAAAATCTGGACCAATGTATTTACATTTAAGCAAAGTAATAATTAGGGTAAGGAAATTATTAAATATTTATAAAATTATAATAAATTTATTTATTATTTAATTTTATTCCAATTTATAGAATTGGAGAACATCAGAGGGTAAAATACTTTCTAAACCAATAGAAGTGTTTTGTCCATTACCCAATTATTTCAACAAAAAATGTGAAGATTTATTTTCTTTTTCTGGTGATTATTTTGATCAAGATCATTACTAATAAATAATATTATTTGGATAAGATTGAAATAACTACATGGAAAAAAACCAATACAGTTCACTCTCTCTATAACAGATCATTGGGATTAGAAAAAGTATTTGTCATAGAAAGAATCTGTTTAGACAGTTATATAGGTCATATGAAATGGTTTTCAGATGCAATTAGCAATGGAATACAAATTTTTTTTATAACAATATAACAGTCATATGCAGTGTTGTGCCATTCATGGATCCAATAATTTCCATTAGAGCATTCCAACAAATTTCAATTGGAATTGGAATTTTCCAGATGTGGTTCCAATGAAATTAACCAATGAAATTCAATTACAATGTTCCAACTACACAATGCTGGTCATATGTGGCACAAAGTGTAAAAATGGAAAGAAAATTATTTCACTTTCATCATCAACCAAATATCTCCATCTCCAAATTACCACTATTTATATTATCATTTGTAATTTGCCATTCAAATATAATCGTGTAGTTATCCACAAAATTATAAAATATTCTAACTCACAGAAAAGATATCTGAATTAGCAGTTCATAAATCAATTCATATATATTGTTTAAATGCATAGCTTGCTTAATATTAATAAACATGATTAATTCAATTTTTTCTTAATGTAATGCCAGTCATTTGATTTTTAATACAATCTTCATTGTTTTAATAAGTATTGTGAGATTGAATCCACATCTCACAGTGAATCTCAATATTTTATTTATTTAAATGCCAACAGTGTTAATACAATTTCTTCCAATTTATTTATATCTAAATCATAACAACAACTTCCACAAATGTATATTTATGCTTTACTCTCAAAACTATTTTTCACCATCATAAACAATTCTTTGAAGTTGAGAAACTACAACGTTATTTATACATGTTAAAGATTCTATCATCTAATTCTCCGATTTCTTTGAAGTCCTAATTAAATGTATTACTTGAGCCATCTGTGTAGAATTATTTTCTAAAGTGATCCAATCATTTAAATTCCTTTGTTTAATTAAATCTAAGAATTAAAAGTCTGCTTTTATTGATTTCCCATGATATGTAAAATTACTATTTTACAGTATCAATCACATCAAAACCTTTTAAAAATCAAATGACTGTCATCGCATTAAGAAAAATCGAATTAGTTATGTTGCAAATTGTTAAAAATTGAAAGATTAATGCCACCATTAAGAAAAAGCGTCAAATGATTAAACTAATGAATGATTTCTAAAATAAGATTAGTTATGAACATAACTTACTAAAATAACTTGTTATTTATTAATTCATAAACATTATATTAATATTAAGCAAGCTATACATTTAAACAATATATATGATTTATGAACCGCTAATTCGGATATCTTTTCTGTGAATTATAATTTTGCGGATATTCAGAGGTTTCACAAAATTTGCGGATAACTACATTAATGAAGGCAAACAAAAAAATGGCTTCTAATAGACAATATTAATATTTCGATTTCGAGAATGACAACAAATATAGTTTATTTTGAATACGTTGGAAATTAGCAAAAGCCATTCGGCACAAACAAAAGAATGCCTTTACTCATCAGGAAGTTTTCCTAAACAATTTTCTAAAGATAAATGTCCAGGATAATTTGTCCTCGTTTTGAAGGCTTGCATTTATGATAAAGTCCTTAGGTTCAAGTGGTCTGATGATACATTAAAATGATTTTTTGGCATATGTTTACCAATGACTTGTTAAGACCGGCTTTACTTATCTTCTCTTTGAGAGCCTTTACCATATTAAATCTTTTAAGTGGAAAATGAATATGCCATCAAATTAATCATAACGACACATCCATTTATTAAAACTCTATCCAAATCCAAGCACTAAGTTGCAGAGCATCTATAATCATTAATTGCTTATAATAACAATTGATCAACTTCAAAATACTAAAACAAAAAAAAATTATCTCATTTTAAAAAATTTAACCGATAAGTTTTATTGTTCATGACTCAAGCTTCAAAACTTATCGGCTGGTTTTTTCTTAAACAGAAAATTGGCTGCCTTAGCATTGAAAATCCCCAATTTTGTTATACACTTGAAGAATTGAGACTAAGTAACAATTTTTTTTGTAGAATATTTTCTATATACAACATACATTTGATTTATTTTAACATTAAAAGAAAATCATTACCAAATTTGGACGTGGGATTCAAAATATTGTAACACGAAAATTATTGTTGTATTTTTGAGCACAACTTTTCAACTATGAAAAGAAAAATCTAATGTGTGAATCACATAATATTTCAGAAATTTTAACTTTTGGGTATAGATGATCTGCACTGTATCTTAGATAAACATGGTAGACTAAAGAGTATATAACAAAATAAATTTTTTTGATTTAAATCATCAGTAAAAATAAATTTATTAACACTTACTATTGTTGTTGTTGTTTGATGATGATCGCCAGATTAATTTTCATATAAGTCGGTCACGTTATTAGGTCTTCATAATAATAAGAAACGGCCAAATTTAATTCGCGTAACTATAAACAAACCTTATAACATTTAAAGATCGGTAATTTTTTTTGATGTTTAGCTGACGTCAGTATTAGTCAGTATGTAACCTATCGTCACTTTTTTATTGGCTGAATGTTTTGGCTTCCAGTGTAACGTTAGTGAAAAAAAAAGACATTCATTTAAAAATAAATTTTTTGCAAGTTTAAATTCACTGGTTTTTTATTTTACTAAATAAATGGTAATTAATTATGTCAATAATATATTTTTGAAAATTTTTATCAATTATTAAATATTTATAATTAATTTTCAGCTTTCTGATCAAGCAATATGTTTAAGAATAAAACATCAAAAAACAACAATTTTTTTAACAGCAATTTCAACAGACAGCTTGTTAAAAATTAAAAAAAAAATTATTAAAATATTGGAAGAAACTGAAAATCAAGTTCCATCAAAAATTAGATTATATAAATATCAAAATAATTCTGGTCCTACTTTAGCATTGGATATAGATTATGAAACTATTGAAGGTTTAAATATTAAAGATAATGAAGTTTTAATATTATGTTTTTGGGATAAAATCATTAGTAAATTTCTTTGTTTTATTATTATGATTGTGAAAAAAATGAATTAATTTTTTGGAATTATTATTAATGACTTTTATTGATATGTTATTAGATGATTGGGAAAGTATCAATATAGAACAACCAGAACCTTTAACATATGAATCAGATGTAGAACCTGAAGAAGATTTTGAAGATGGAATTAATAAAATAGTTGAGGAAAACAGCAGCAGCAACAACAATAAATCAGATAAATTAGTTAAGAAAAATGAAAAAGGAAAACATAAAGAAAATTTCAACAATAATAATTTAACTTAATCAATATTTATTTATTATATATTAATAAAATTATTTATATCAACTATCATTACTAACTGTCATTATCTTTACTATTAATAATAATTTATTCAATTTCTTGAAGAAACCCCCAAAAAAATCTCCTTGTGATAAATTAATTAGATGTTCCTTTTTTTTTTTTTAATTCACCAAAGGTTCAAATTTGTATTTATAAAATGTTGATTAAAAGAAAAAAACATTTTTGATTCATCAATTAAAGTTTGCAATTTTTACAATCCTACATACTAATTCTAATAAATGATTTGAGATGGATGTGGCTTGCTGGTGAAATATTGTTCTAGCCAATAATTGAGTCTAGCTCTGATTATTATTGTATTATTTCTTCTATTCCAACCTACCTAGGAAGAGATTTTCTTTAAAAGATTTATATATTAAGATGAATTTTATTTATTTGTATAGAATTTTTTTTTTTTTATATAAAAAAATTAATAAACATTAACTATGAACCAACCAATTAACTTATTAATCCTGTTTTTCAAAATCTTTTAATCCAAAATTTTTTTTCCAAGTATAACAAGGAAAATATTTTTTATTTTGAATTCTCATCCATTCAAAATCATCATCATCCAAATCTGATGTGAATTCCCATAACTTTTCAGCTTCAAAATCTGGAATTGAATAATCAATTTGCCAAATTTCTTCTCTAACATGTTTAGATCTTTCACGATCATCTTCCATTCGTTTAAGTATGTCATTCTTTGATAAATTATTTAACATTAATGTTGAAGATTTTAATTGTTGTTGTAAATTTTGTTTTAATGATTGTTGTGGTTCTTGATGATGTGGACTTTGCCCTTGTGGTGGTTGTTCTTGTAATTCTTGGTTTTGTTCTTGCACTTGCAGTTCATCCACTTGTATTTGTAATTGTTGTTTTTGACTATTATTATTATCATCACCATCTTTATTATTATTGATATTGGTTTCATTATCACCACCATCATTATTATTATTGTTGGAGTTTTGATTATCATCAATACCACCATCAACATATTTATTATTGCCACCATCTCCAGGATTGTTATCATTTTCATTTCTATTATTATCTTGGTTATCATTATGTTTAATGTTAATAAAAATTCTTTTATTAAACCAATTTTTTTGTTCCAATAATAATTTTTCTGCCTCATCCAGCACTTTCTTGTCAAAATATCTTTTTTTCTTCCAACTCAATAAGATTCTTCTAGTGTTACTAACATTAATGATCCCATTTGGACCACTTGTAACATCCAGAATTAATTTATTTAAATCTTGTTTAATAAGTTCAATGTATCCTTTGAAATTTATAGATTTTGAACTCTCGAGTAAAGCATCAATGAAATAAAGTAAATTCAATCTTGGTAGGATGGTTGATTGGTCCATAACTTCCAATATACATCTGTATAAATCTTCATAACATCCTTTATTTTGAATTGCATATTTTACACACTTTTTGATGTAAGGTTGCGATGCATTAAGACTTTTTAGATGACTTATAAATTCTAATCTCACTTCAAATGGGTCCATGATGAAAAATGCAATATTTATTTACGTGGGCGAAATGGTTTATTACTATTATTATTATTTTTTATTATAATTTTTAATGCTTTAATAGATTAATAGATTATTTGAGAGAAGTTGTTTATTTTTTATATGAATATATATATATATATATATAGTTAAAAAAAGAAGATATATTTATGAACCAGGTTAGCCAAGGTAATTTTTATTAATCATTCCAAATTCCTCCTATAATAATCTTATTATTAGCTAGCTGATAGTATTAATAATAATAATTATTATTCTACTTTATAACTCAAATGAATGCCCGTGATATATTTATTATCCTGATTAATTAATAGAAAGAAAAAAAAATCTCTTTAGAAGAAAAAAATTAATATATTTTATATTATGTATTAAAATCATTAAAAAATTATCAATATTAATTATTGATTTTGAAAACTTACCTTTGTATTTATATATATGTATACTAAATCTAAAATGCTTACTAATAAAAGAAAATTTTTAAAGGTAAAAAAATAATCCTTGAGTAAAAAGTAATGCGTGACAAATATGGTTGATTGTAACACATTGTATTAGCATGGTGCATAGAATTCAGACGATATTCACGTGACCAATACATGTGAAGAATTTTTTATTGGTCAAAATACAGAAATTGTTGTTAGTCAAACCTCACCTTGCCACAACGAATTTTTTTTTATTAAAACGGATTTAAATACAGCCCCAGTTTTTTTAATCTCACCACAGTGGATTGGTTATAATCGTGAACATTAATATTTATCATCACAAAAAATATCAGCAAAATTATAAACATTCTAATTTGAATTAGCAATTCATATATATTGTTTAAATGTATAGTTTGCTTAATATTAATAAACATGATTAATTCAATTTTTTCTTAATGTAATGCCAGTCATTTGATTTTTAATACAATCTTCATTGTTTTAATAAGTATTGTGAGATTGAATCCACATCTCACAGTGAATCTCAATATTTTATTTATTTAAATGCCAACAGTGTTATACAATTTCTTCCAATTTATTTATACCTAAATTATAACAACAATTTCCACAAATGTATATTTATGCTTTACTCTCAAAACAATTTATAAAAAAAATGCAATACATAAAATGCGCATGAAATTTGAAATTTCATGTCCCATCTCTAAATATACCACATAAATATCATTTCCAATTTCCTTAATTAGTCATGAATTTCCCATACCACTTGCTTGTATTAATGTTATGTATGGTGAATAATGTCATCCAATTCATCCAAATAAATGCTTCAAAAATCTGCCCTCCATTTGTGTAAGTTATAATCAAAAGCCTTTTTAACATAATCTAAATCTAACGTCCTTTCTGGATCCTGGAAACTAGTTGAAAGGAAGTCATTATGAACTAATCAGAAAAAAGCTGGTATGGATAAAAGATAACAAGTGTTAATTGATGATAAATTCATAAAATAAACAAAGATGATAATAATAGAAAGAGTCATTGAATGAGTAGAAAAGTTTCTTTTTCTCTTTCAATACCACCAACATGCTCTTCTTCTGCCTTACATTTTCCTATGACATTTACAAAAAAACCAAAATTTAATTAATGTTGTAAATAGTATATACCAAATCCTCTCCTAAATGGATAGATGATAATATTGTGCAGATAATATTTCAAATGGAATAGATGGAGGTCAATTTTATCACCAACATATATAAACCAGCATTTGTATTGTAAGATCTTTTACCTATCTTTTTCAATTTTTTTTCAATTTAACAATTTCATTTTCTAAATATTCAACTCTTTTTTCCAATTCCTAAGAGAATGTTTATTTTGTAAAGATCAGATTAATATTTGCAATATTGATCATAATTGAACACTAAATATTAATGTATTGAAATAAACAATATGAGATCATACTTGAGAATTTTCCCTATCATTTTTTTCTTGAAGTGGTAGTTGTAAAGATGATGTACCAGATGTATTAAACAAGTACAAGAAAGTCAAGTTTCATCAATTAAAAAAATTTATTAACAAACTAGGGTGATGACAAGTGGCAATAACCACCACTCTTATGGTAAACACCTACCTAGCAATATCAGTCTTTTGTTTTTCTTTTCTTTTTCTGGAAGACATTTTTAATAAATAAAAAAAGAAATATTATTTGATCGACAAACACGTACACATAGACCCTCAGAAATTAAAATTCTACCCCATTTTTATCATACCAGTACAGTATGCCCCAAATTATAAAAATACAAATAAATTTTTTTAAAAATGGAAAATGCTTTAAATGAAAATAAGCATCCTGATGATACTTCTACTAACAAAAATAATGATGAATATTCAAAGGAAAGAAAAGAAGAACATGGAGAATGTCCAATTTGCAATAGATATAATACTAATTGGGCATGGTGTCAATCATGCAATCCAAAGCTATTGACTGAAGGATGGACTAGTGGTAACGAAACATTAGATGAGTTGATTAAAAACACACAACTTAAAGCAGCTGAGTATAAAAATTATAATTATCTTCAATGGATTCCTTATAATGATTTAACAAATATTGAAAAGATAGGTGAAGGTGGTTTTGCAATTATATACAAAGCTACTTGGTTAAATGGTAAGAAATTTATAAATGAAAATAATGAAAAAACTAGTAAAGATTTACTTGCGGCATTAAAAAAATTACATGGTTCAGGAAATATTTCTGATAAATTTCTTGATGAGGTATTAGTTTCAGATTTTTTAAAATATTATTGATTATTATTGTTGTAATTAAATATTTGTTTGTTTTTTAGTTCAAAAACTATATAAATTTTCATAATAAAGTAAATTTAATTCATATCTATGGATTAACACAAGATCCAATCACAAAAGAATATATAATTGTAATGGAGTATATAAAAGATGGGAGTCTTCAAGATTATTTAAATGGGTTCATAAAATCAAAATCCTTGAACAAATTATTGAAGGTTTAAATAATATTCATGAAAAAGAAATCATTCATCGTGATTTCCATAGTGGTAATATTCTTCAAAGTGATATTTATTCATATATTGCAGACTTAGGATTATCATGTCCAGCTAGTCAAACATCTGCATCAAACAACAATGATATATTTGGAGTACTACCATATGTTGCACCAGAAGTTTTAAGGGGGAATCCATATACAAAAGCATCAGATATATATAGTTTTGGAGTTCTGATGTCTGTAATATCAACTGGTCAACAACCATTTAATAATTTGGCACATGATTTAGACCTTGCAATAAAAATATGTGAAGGTGTAAGACCAGGATTCTCAAATGACACACCAAAATTATATATTGAACTAGCATTCAGATGTATGGATGCTAATCCAGATAAACGTCCAACAGCCAGTGAAATTAACAGTATTATTGATTCTTGGCCATTAAAAAAATTTAATGAAATGGAAATAAAATTTGGTCTTTCAACAATTACTGCAACAATTCATCCAAATGCAGTTTATACTAGCAGGTTATTAAAATTTACAAACCTTCTCCAACCTGTGAATACAAATAAAGTGACAATTATTGGTGATAATAATGGTTATTTACATTTTCATTTTTTATTAATTTTAAATCTATAATTTTAAATATTAATGATAAAATTTTTTTTAGATTCTCGACAGATTGAATTAACTATACCAGATGAATTACCCAAATAAGTTAATTCTTGTCATTTGATTATATATTAAATTATTTATTATTTTACTCTATTTATTTGGCTACTATAGTTATGATATTAAATATCTTGAGAAATTAATATTTAATAATGATATTATATAAAGGCAATAACTTCTCACAGTTGTCATATCTTTGGATTTTTATTTATTTTGAAATTGGATACCAACTATATACATTCAATAATTTTGCTGTATAATTTTTGGTATAAAATCTTGTATTTCCTATGTTACAAAACTTTGCCAATTTGGCAAACTAAAATAAATAAATTCTTTTTATCGAAAAAAAAAAAAGATCAATGGTCAATTTATCAAATTTAGAAAAAAAGCAATTAGATAATTCTTGCGTTAACAAACAAATTGTTCCTCCAATGATTATTTATTATTCCATGATAAGTATGTATGATCACCCAATTTTCTAAAATAAATCAAATCATTATTTAATTAATATGATTTTTATTTTTTATTACTATTGTCAATATAATGTTACCTTGGTTTATATAAATATCTAGCAGTAAAAATACATCCAAGTATCACACAAAGCATGCCAACTCCCATATAGGCAGATCCTAAAAAAGGATTTTTACCACCAAGGAATGATCCAGTAGAAATTACAAATGACTTGGTTCCACCATATCTGGTAACAGGAAATTCTTTTTTTTTTTTTTAAATTTGATTTGGATATTTAATAATACAATACGAAAATGTATCTTTTTTTATAAATAAATTCTTTTTAAAAAACTCACTGTAATCAATTAAAACTTCATATTCTCCAGCTTTCAATGGCTCTTTTTCATTTTTACCGTAAAGCTTTCTAAAATTAGGTAAACCAGCTGTACGCATCCAAACTTGAAAAAGCTCGTCATTTGAAAGGTCAGGTGGTGGATAATCATTTGTGTAACTACCATTAGGATATCTATCAACCCAATCAGGTGGTGGCCGTATTTGACCATAATCATAAGCCGTTTTACCATATTTTTGTCTATCGGATGGCCATGCTATACCGCTTTGTGTAAAGTTATATGATGATCCATCATTTAAAAGTGAGAGATTACTGATTGTATCTAATTTTTTTAAAAAAATAATTACATGTATATAAACGTAAGATTTTAAAATTCCAAATAAATAACGATTTAACAATAATTATATTTACCATTGAATTGTGAATTGGCAATTAAACCACAAGGATAGATCAAATAGCCTTCAGGCGTAACAGCCATTGGTTTACAATTAATTTGTAGAGCTGATTGACCAACAGCTAGACCTTTCAATTGATCTGCATCAAAACTTTTAACATAACGTCTATGATTTTGATAAAAATTTGTTAGCCGATAATAAAAAAATATTGGAGGATCCAATTGGTTTGGTATACTAAATCTTATTCTACAGCGCCAATAGGGTATTTGATTTGGATTAACATCCTGAGTTGGCAAATAAACTTCACGGCTCCATTTTGTTGATGCAACAGGTTCTGGATCAGCTCTAGGAAATGAAGCTTGAATATATCCAGATGGCATTGGTAAAAAGTCAGGATATATTGGAGCTGCAGAATCACAATATGTATATTCAACAATAAGTTCAGATACCTAAATTTATTATATATATATATAGTATGTGTATGTAACTAAAAAAATTTTAATAGAAAAATAAAATATTTATATATATTTTTCCCTTAAATAAAATTTATTTACATTATTGCTAGCCCAGAATAATAAACCACCAAGTGGTGCAAAGATGATTCCAACAATAAAAAAAGTTGGTAAAACAGTTTTTGGTGTAAGAATGGGTTGCCATGCCTTTAAGCGCTGTTGTTTAAAAGCAGTATCTAAAATAATCAAACACTTTTGATGTTAAAAACCAAATTAACATATTTTAAAATTAATAATAATTTGAACATGATCTTCAACCAACTAACTTGCAGGTTTACGGCTTTTTGTTTCTGGAGCCATTGTTTTGAAAAAAAATATTTGTTTAAAAAGATTTTATATGTTCAATTGTTTAAGAAGGGGTATTATTATAAAAAGAATGTCAAATAATGAACTTCCATAATTTTAAAAATATTGTGTGTAACAACTTTCTTACTCGCTTTTGTTATATATAGAAAACTTTAAAAAAAAATTATTTTTTTTAAAAAAAAGATGGGAAAGAAGGGTTCTTTGTTTGCGCATTTTCAAAATTTTGATGCATATGCCAAAACTCTTGATGACTTTCGAGTAAAAACATACTATGGAGCAGCATGTAACTAATTTATTGAAAATTTTCAAACTCTTGTTGTTTTTTTATTAATTAATTAATTTAAATTTTTTTTTTTAGTAACAATTTTAAGTGCTATCATAATATGTATATTACTTTGGTCTGAATTCATAGATTACAGATCAACAGAAATAAAGCCAGAATTAGTAGTAGATAAAGGTAGAAAAGAAAAATTGACAATCAATATTAATATTACATTTCCACATGTACCATGCTATCGTAAGTTGATCACAGTATTTTTATTTTTTATACTAATAATTATAATGACTTTTAATAATAAAATTTGCTCAATAGTTTTAAGTGTAGATGTTATGGATATAGCTGGCGAAACACAAAATGATCTGGATCATGATATTTATAAAACACGACTTGATTCAGATGGAAATCTTATACATGTTGAAAAAGCTCAAGGTAATCAATATCATTTATTTTCTCGTTTTGTTTAATTCCAAATCATTTAATAAAAGAAATTTTTTTATTATATAGATCTCGGAGACCATACTAAAAATATTTTACATTTGGTTAATAAGACATCTTCAGATAACGAAACTTATTGTGGAAGTTGCTACGGCGGAGATCCTCCTGAAAGTGGTTGTTGTAATACTTGTGAAGATGTTCGTGAAGCTTACATTCAAAAAGGATGGTCCTTTGGTGATACAGATTCAATTGAACAAGTGAATAATTATTAGTGATTATTTATTTATTGTTTGTTTGTTGGTTCATATATGATTATATATGCATCACCATGATATTTATTTATTTTATTTATTTGAAAAACAAAAATAAGTGCGTTAAAGAAGGATGGAAAGAGAAATTTGCCGCACAATCTCATGAAGGTTGTAATGTGGCAGGAAATGTAAGAGTTAATAAAGTTGCTGGGAACTTTCATCTTGCGCCGGGAAAAAGTTTTCAACAAAATCATGTGCATGTTCATGATTTACTACCATTCTTAAGTGATGGTACCGTTCATGTTTTTTCACACAAGATCCATCATTTAAGCTTTGGCCCAAAAGTAGATGGTGTAGTAAATCCTTTAGATGGTGTAGGCAGTGATGTCTATCAAGGTATATTATGAATCATCATCCAATCATCTACACTTTTATTATTTGTCGCTTATTCACTTCTTACCTTTTTTTTATTACAATTATTAGGCCATTATATGTTTCAATATTTTGTTAAAGTTGTATCAACCCAATTTTATTTTTTGAATGGAACCACTATTTATACAAACCAGTACTCAGTAACACAATATGAAAGAGATTTAACTGGGAAAGGTTCATCTGAGCATGTATACAGTCACAATTCAGGATTACCAGGTACAATAACAACAACAACAATAATAATGATGAGTTTTTTTCAAAAAAACCTCTAATTTAATTATTTCCTATTCACTTATCAATTAGGTGTATTTTTCAACTATGATATCTCTCCGATGTTAATTATTAATCGAGAAGAACGTAAAAGTTTTACACATTTTTTGACAGGTGTATGTGCTATAATAGGAGGAATTTTTACCGTTGCGGGAATATTAGATGGATTTATTTATAATGCAGAGAAAACACTAAAGAAAAAGATTGAACTTGGAAAACATTTGTAATTAATTTAACATAAGAAAAATTGCAATGCTTTTTATATAAACCTTTTAGTTTTTTTGTTTAAAAAGGCAATTTTTGAAAGGAAATTAATTTATTGCATGTATATAGAGTATTAGCATTAATTCAATGTTAATAATGTTAAAATGTTAATTAATTACTCCAAATTTTTTTTAATAAACTGGGGTTTTATTTATTAGAAAAAATAAAGAGGGTTAATCATTTATCCTTACTTTTCATTTATGTCGACTTGATCAAGTATGATAGATAGACCAGAAAAAAAAAATATGAGGGTGATTTCTAGCTGTGGTTAGGAACATAATAATAATATTTTCTGCGAGAAAACCATGATATTTATATGACAATAAACAGTTTCAAGAAAAATATGCAGGTAAATTTTAATTTTTTAAGAATCTTTAAAAAAATTTTTGAATCATCATTTATTATACGATGTTGGTTTATTGAATATTCTTTTTGAAGATGACGATGATTCGTTTGGAGGCAATTAAATTTTCTTATCTTTTTACTTCATTTACCAGGGATATGAATGAGCAAACATTTATGTGCACGGACGGACGATCAAGAATCATTAATATTAATATTTCATCTTAAATTTTTTTTTTCTGCCTCTTACATCCAAGAATATTGCACGGAGACGATACTGAACAATGCCTACGTAAATACTAGTTTATTCATCGGCATTACTGGATTTTATTCCAAATTAGACCCTTTTTGAAGAGGAATGCCGTATCATAAAAATCCGCAAAAGTTATAAGCAAAAGTCTTTGGCTTGCATTTACCTCATAATACGACTTTATTTTGACCTATTGAAACAAGATTTACGTTTTGTTTTTAAATTTCTAAAACTCGAAAGGAAATTACCAAGCTCAATATTACATACTATGATACAGATCATCCAAATTTTACTATGTTTTACAACCTCCTATAGATGTCCTGTGACTGTTAATCCAAGTTTTAAAATTTATCAACTGTACGGAATTAGGAAATTATAATAATAATAATAATAATAATAATAATAATAATAATAATACTAAAAAGGTACGTTTTGATTCCGCATATAAGGTACGGAATTGAGAAAATTATAATAATAAGGTACTTTTTGATTCCGTATATAAGGTACGGAATTTGCAACACACTGAATATGAATATGAAAAGGTAATTTTAATTCTGCATATAAGGTACGGAATTTGTAACATATTAGTACTAACACTGAAAAGGTTCTAGTAATAGTATGTTTTTGATTCCGCGTATAATGTACGTAATGTGTAAAATAACTATTTTATTCATTATAAATAATAAATAAAACGTATAAATTGTCTTTAACATTTATTTTGATCAAACTCGCCTATATAATTATCGAATAATTGATATACATTAATTTTGCAATCTTCATAGATCTTGATTAACACTTCGCCTATATAATTATTAAATAATTGACAATAATAAAACGTTGGTTAATTATATTACAAACAGCTTTGTAGATCTCGACTTTGATACTTCGATCAAACCCGCCTATATGATAATTGATAATAAGGTCCATTAAATATATTTTACAAACGGCTTCATAGATCTCGACTTTAACACTTACCTCGATCAAACCCGCCTATATAATTATTGAATAATTGGTAAACATTCGTTTTGCATCAATCGTCAATGACATCCTACCTAATCTTCCCAGACCAGAGAAGGCTACTTCCATGCTAGCCTACCTCTAGGGCAAGGATGGCAATCACAGGAGATTGCAATTCATAGTGGGGTTGGCAGCCCTGAAATTGCATTTGGGCTCTGATGTTAAGAGGAAAGTTGTAAAATAGTGTTTGTTTTGTATAATTATTTTCCTAAATCCTCTGTTTCTTTAATACTAACCAATTTATAACTTTGGGTAGGCCTATTCTACAGATTAAAATCATTGCATGTTTATATACATATTTGTCAGCAATATGGCCAGCAAGAAAAAAGTCATAAAATGGTTTGAATTTTGGTATGTTGTATAAATTAATCATTCCCATAAATTTTCTGTTTCTCTTTGATTTTTATTTGACCAATTGAACTTGTTATATATATACTATGTCATATTATTGTTATAATCGTTATAATTGTTATAGTTTATAAAATAGTCAGCCATATTAACATTATTTGAAAATCTGGAAAAAAATATAAAATTTTACAAGCAAAGCGTGTTTTTGATAAAGATACGGAAGGGTTAAGTAATTCTTTAGGACTTTAAGAGGAATTTCGTACATACATGTATATAGTCGTTCTATCTAATTATTGATTATTATTTTTTAAAACAAATATTCATCAATCAAGAATAACCACTTTACAAGGACATCTAAAAACCATTTGTTAAAATATTGAATAACGCTTTAATGGTTGGTTTATATCATCATTTATCATATTATTATTATTAGTATTAGTATTATTAATAGATTTTTATTGCCTACGTATAATAGGGTGCAAACCAAAAACCATCAACATTTGTTAAAATCGTTATTTAAATAGAAGTATCTGATTCCTACATTTATAATATAGATTAATTCATAAGTATATAAATTATTGTTATATTTTTTATTTAAAGTCATTTTTTATATATTTCAAACAATATAAAAAAAATTTTTTTAATTATTTAGGCAGCATTTTTTTGTTGAACAGTAGGATTAATCTTTTTCCCGTCCTAATTAATCATTCAAATAAAATTAAACATTATTATTAAAAAAAAAAAGAAAATAAATTAAAATAAATAATAAAAATCAAACCTTATTATAACGAATTCTTGGTGGAGGAGCACGATTACGACGGCCTTCACGAGATCTAACTCTGACTATGTGAGAATGGATGGCACAAGAAACACAATAATGTACTTTTATGTATAATTTTGGAAGTGCGTATTCTATTATTTTAGAAAAAAAAAATTAAAAGGATGAAATCAATTCTAAATGAAACATAAATTGATCGATTGATTGTTAACCATCGTAAACTGAAGCCTCTGTAATATCACGAATTGCGGCACTTTCTACCATGTTTCGAATAGAAAACCTTTTGATAGATTTATCCTATTTATTAAATTATTGTAATTTGTTATTTATTATTTATTATTTATTTATTAAATAATTATAAATGACGTTAATATTTTTGTTTTATACTTTTTTATTTTACCTTGGGTACACATCTGGCACAATTAGAACATCTTACTGGTTTAACGTGACCACGCCCATGTTTATTACGTCCATGATTTCTTCTTTTTGTAGTCTATTTATAAGATCATTAATCCATCAAAAGTTTTTAATTTTTAATTAATTATTACGATTGTAGACTTACCATTTTGACAATTAAATTAATATCTTTTTTTTTTAAATCAAGATAAAAATGGATGATAAGTTTGTGTTCAGTTTGTTGTTATTATGAAAAACCTTGCTTGTCAAGAAATAAAAACGAAGGATAAAAAAACTACGGTTCTTTTTTCTTTTACAAATTAAATTAAATCCAATTGGGCAAGATTGTTGATCATTTTTTATCCACATAATATTATTTTTACCAGGATCTAATGCTTACCATGTCAAAACTTCAGTCAGTAATTTAAAAGATCAAGAATTTGAAAAGGCAGCAAGAGTTATGCCTCAAAATACACACATGTGAAAGGAGAAGAAAATGTTGATGGTAAGTCTATTTGGTTATGATTAGCTATTTTTATTTATTGATGTTACTTGAAAAGGACTTCCCAATTAATATGTAATCATAAGATCTTACCCATATTATTTTTCCTCCAAAGATATTAGGAATTGTTCGTTTTCGTTTTGTCTTCTTTTCCCATTGGACACCATTTATTTTATTTTGAAAACATAAGGGAATTTTCTTACCTTGTTTTTTTTTAAATCCTTCTAATAATGATGTAATTCTTGGGTTCCATGATGAATTTGATGTAAATTAATTTCATATTTGTATTTTTATACAGAGATAATCAATCCTATGTATATAGGAATAGGCTGTTATTATCTTTAATAATCATATTACATTAGTAGCGTTTAGCAAATTTCAACATTTTGAACCCTGAAATTATTTTGCAGTCTGTCCCATATAAGGAAGATACTTTAATATTCTAAAATAACAGAAGCATATAATAACTTAAATTATAATTCATCATAACATTCAATGAGTGTAGTATACAAACGTGAAAAAAAGATTCGTTATTAACAAAAGAAATAGGGAAACAAAATCGTTCGACAGCAACCAGTTATTGGAAATTTATTTCTTTTTATGTAACATGAATCATGACATAATATGATTGATTACATATATATATATATATATATATAATAAATATTTACATTGCTATAATAAATTAATAAATAAGTAATAAATTATCTAAGAAAGTTTTATTTTCTTCTTGATTGATTGTGTATTAACAAAACCAAACAAGTAAATCACACAAGAATTATATTTTATTTCAGTTTCAAGATATACATCCATAAAAGGAAAACTTCTGGTTAAACAATCTGATAAGTAACTTTCATCAAAGTGATCTAAAATCCCATAACCAATAAATTTGTATTCAAGAAGTTTATCTTTCATTGGTGTGTCATTGAATTGGATTGAGGGCGATTTTGAAGAACTAAAGAATTCGATTGTGATAGAGCTTGAGAATGTTCTAATTGCTTCATAGATTAGATTTTCAATTGCTTTAATAAATTTCGTAAAAATTTCTGCTGCTGCTTTCTCTGCTAAATTCAATTCTTTCATGCTCATCTCAATATTAAAATAATCTAATTCTTTTTTCATCATTTCCAATGTTAACGTTTCATTGTTATCTACAAATTGATTTTCTTCATCTATTTCTCCGGCATTATCTTCTTTATCCTTGGCATTATCATCATCATCTTTATCAGTGTTATTATTATTGCTATTGTTACTATTCCAATTCCAATAAAATTCACCAGTACGATAATATTCTAAAATATAATAGAATGCTTTTGGATTCCTGTCAAAGAAATATTCATTATCTCTATGTGTTGGTTTTAAGAGTGATATCTTTCATTGGTGTGTCATTGAATTGGATTGAGGGCGATTTTGAAGAACTAAAGAATTCGATTGTGATAGAGCTTGAGAATGTTCTAATTGCTTCATAGATTAGATTTTCAATTGCTTTAATAAATTTCGTAAAAATTTCTGCTGCTGCTTTCTCTGCTAAATTCAATTCTTTCATGCTCATCTCAATATTAAAATAATCTAATTCTTTTTTCATCATTTCCAATGTTAACGTTTCATTGTTATCTACAAATTGATTTTCTTCATCTATTTCTCCGGCATTATCTTCTTTATCCTTGGCATTATCATCATCATCTTTATCAGTGTTATTATTATTGCTATTGTTACTATTCCAATTCCAATAAAATTCACCAGTACGATAATATTCTAAAATATAATAGAATGCTTTTGGATTCCTGTCAAAGAAATATTCATTATCTCTATGTGTTGGTTTTAAGAGTGATCTGTTTCTTGGATGAAACATTTTTCCGAGCAATGTGTCAGGTTGTGATAATAAGGTTGAAATTTTTGTTTCAAACTAAATATGTAGATATAACTTCTAAGTATATACTGTATACATGTGTATTTATAAATTTATCATATTATTATTACCTTTGTTCCGCCGACATTCAATATTACATTTTGATCTAAATCAGTTTGCATTTTTATTTTTAGTTGTTGAAAGAATTTGTAAAATTTACAATGAATAAGTTTTTTTGAATAAATGTTACACAGAATAAGCCAAAAATAGTAATATTGAACTTGGGTAAAAATACGCGATACACCAATACTAATTATGAATATGCAATTATGGAAATCAATTAAAATATTCTTGAACAGAGGTTTTTGTATTACATTTATTTCTTTTTTTCATTGTCTTTATCGATGTTTGTATCATCCACAACATCAGGGTCAAATATTGTTTCAAAGATCTTGCTCAATTTTGCTTGATGACTCTTTTGTTCTTCAAATAACACCTTTTCATTATTATTTGCATTAAAAAATCCCATCTTTTTAAAATTACTTATCAATAGGTTTTTCAAATTTTTATCAAAATTTGATGATGCTTTTTTTCCATAATCGTCTTCCTTTAAATTTTCATCATTATTCTCATCATCATCATCATCACCAATAGTTTCAATATGTTTGATATTTTTACCATCATAAAGGAAAAACTTTATTTCACGATCATCATCTTGATTTGTATTATCATCATTAAAACCTATTTCTGCACTTTGTAATTCAGGCCTCCTGGCCAAATCACGTAAATATTCCTGATCAAGCAATTTATTTGCTATTGCTACCAACCTTTCCAATTGTTTTTTATTTTGAGTCATTGCCGCATCCTTTTTATTTTTATCTGTTGATGCTGGGTTTTTTTGATTTAAATCTTGCTTTTGTTGATTTCGATTATCTGAGCCATCAAAAGTTTTATCCTTTTCATTAATGTGTTGTTTGATGCTAAAAAAGATTTTTTTTTATTAATATTATATCATATATGTATTTAATATTTTTTTCCAATAACATTTTACTTTTTTATTTTTTAAATTTTTTAAGAACTACCAACATAATTAATCAATCAAAATTCTATCATATTGTTAAACTTTTGCAATGATACTGTACCTTGACTTGTCTTTCAACCCACTTTCTAATCCTTTTTCTATAGCGCGTTGATAATATGCATCAGGTACCACTGGTCTACATTCAATTGGATAGATCTTTGAGAAAGATGTATCATGAAAAGCAGGATGAGCGCATAAATATGATGTATGAATAACTACAAGATAATTACACGTGTACATCTCAGTAACTACAGAAATATAATTTTGTGGATTACAATGAAACTAATTTATCAAAAATAAATATACATATAAATTTATAAATTTAAGTTATTTTACAATGATTTTAATATTTTAATTTTTAAAATTTTCAACAAACCTGAATCTCAACTCTACGAGGATTACCAGTTAAATCACATTTAGTTCCATCACTCCAACGTTGAACCAAAAACTTTTTTCCTCCACCAACTTCTAAATCTGTACCTAATGTCCTTTTTTTTTCATCAAAATTATTATTATTATCATCATTATTTGAAGGTGATGGTAAGGTTGCATGACGCGGATCATACTTTCCCAAAAAATAAGACTCACTACTTGTATCTTCAATTAGACTCCCAGCTTGAATTATTTGGTGAAACTGTTTCACATGTCTAAAAAATATTATATATTTAATGATGCTTAAAATACCAATTAGGTAAAAACCTAACACAAAAATATGTTACCTCATATGACAATATTCATAAGTCCACCATCCATTTATCTA